GTATATAAAGCATGAACCAAAATTATTCCATACCTCCAAAAAAATAAGTACCTCCTATGGACCCAAAGCTTTCCAAGCAGAAGTTGATTATCTGATAGGAAACTGGACTCTATACATACCCACTATTACCTAAGAAAAGGCTTCACCTTTAATATAAGTATCTCAAAAAGATTTTTACTTTGTATTGCACTCATCCTACTCAGCGCTATCAGATTGAAAAAACTGTGATAGATAGCGTAGAAATGCAGGAACTGTTCCTGCAGCAGGGTGAAATAAAAACTATCTTAAATTCTACATGGCAAACAGCAATCATCCTGCTCTTCCCCTCGAAACGACATCGGTGCACCTAGTTTGTAACAGCATAACTGTGTGTAGTGCTCAGCTGTTAACAATAGCTTTGTAAGCAAGTGTTGCAAGCCCTTACGGCTTTTTTATGTGCCTATGTAGCTGCTTTTCTTTCCATTTCCCCTACTATGTGCCAGGTTACAGAAACACTTCCAAGCAGTGGATTCAGAAATAGAAAGAGTTCAAGGCCAGGTTTCACACCTGCAACCTTGCAGCTCTGATCTGTTCCAGCCCTGAAGACCAGTCTCCTTACTATAAATCCAAGCCTTCCTTCTAACACCCAGGGCTTATGTTCAATAAAACGTACGATTTTTTACATATTTGTTTGGGGCAGGAAAGGGTGCAAGGAGGAAGGAGGGGGAATACTGCACAGAAGCTATGTAACCATTACATGTATCACATCTCACTTTGACACAGTAATTTAATGGAATGCCATCGCAGTTCATGCAAATTAATTTGTCACCCAATTTAAGACACTGTCTCACTCCAGCTCCCACAGAAAAATAAAAAAAAGGGCTATTCCTGTTCAACACCAACATACCTTTCATACTCTGGCTTCCCTAAATACTTCAGAGGGTAATACAAATTAGCACAAAGTTTTGAAGGGTTAAACAGCAGTTCTCATTTTTCATTTCTATTGGAATTCTACACAAAAATCTGTTTTCTGAAGCACTATAAATATAATACTTGGATTACAGCAGCAGCAGAAAGCTATCACAAACATCCCATACGCCTCACGAGTTCCAGAGTGAGGACATAGGAGGCAAACCCCTTAAAAACAAAACGAAGAAGTCCCCCATATGATACTAGTGTGCGATGTCCAAGTATGTGCCAATGAGAAATCTTGACACTTAGGGCGTATTCAAATAGAATAAGGCATCAGCAAGCACTGTGGCTTGAGAAGTATTTGTTGGTCTGTTTAGAAAACAAGTCGTTCTGTAGTTGAACAAACTGCCATGCAAGACCAATTTCTAGACTCCAGGTGTGATTTATGCAACTCACACTGACTCTCCGTTCATCTCTGATGGCCTGCATTATACTGGCTACCTCACACAGAACTTTTCTTGCCATGATGCTCTAGATTTCTGGCCCAGAGAAAGACTAAAACAAACTATTTCTTTTGCTACAAGATGAGAAAATGATATCAAAATTAAAATAACATTGGGAGGGAACAAAACTGTAACTCTGCATTGCCCCCTACAAGAAATATAAACAGAGCTCTCTTCTGATATACACTGATCGTCCAAATGGAACATAAAGACATTTTCAGACGAACTGTTTGAACAACTCCCTGTACTAGCTAACAGCCTCTCTCTGCATAGAGAGACAGAAAGAGCATGCAAAGTCGTTTGCACATAGCTTAGACTGTAAGCCACAAGAGCTTCAGCATTGCTACTTTATTCACTCTAAAATTCATTCAGAAAGTAGGGGGGAAGAAAAAAAAAACGATTTCCTGAAAAATAAGAAAAAGAAAAGGAAATAAAGAAATCCCAAGTCTCCATTTTAGAAGGCAAGAAAACTCTGGACATGATCCTAATGTAAATCTCAGACCAATATGCATTTTGCTGAAACAAGAACTTTGGGTTTAGGCCACGTATGGAAGTAGCTCAGAGTTCCCCATTAAGTCTCGTTCTACTTGAGACACTGAGATGTCGAAAAACTTCAGAGTGAAAATTTAGTAACTGGCTTACCACAGAGAAGTTGAAAGAAAAACAGACAGTATCATCTGTGACTTAATGTTTGTCTTTCAGGAAATGAAGATCCTTACAGCAGTAAATATAAAACTTGAATTGTTTGCAAATAGGTTTAATCATCTAATTGCCATGTAGAAGTAAAATCTATGCGCTATCAGAACTCAGTACAGCTAATTACTAGGAGACAAAATAAAGATTTTTATCAAACTGTGTGTGCGTTCTTCAGCTATTATATCTATCAATATTTATGTCACTTACAGCCCTTTCTGGGTGGTTGCTGCATACATTTTGTGTGCAGTCAAGAAGCTTCCCGACTGCAAACGTGCTTTTAAAAAGAAAAGCTGGCCCGAACCCTGCATTTCCAATTCAAGCAGTTTATTCTGAAGCCTGCTAACTCCCTGGAGCAGCTGATAGCTAAAGACTTGTTTCCGCTTTTCTAACAATTTCCTGGTTTGCATAACAATCCTAAAAGGAACGCGCTCAAGAAGTTTTCCAGCACAGAGAGATTTAGTCTCCAACATACTTCTAGTTTCAAGGCATAGAAAATATATATAATTACAATAACTTTAGACATATATTTGTCTACAAACATATTTACATATAAATATGTATCAGCTACTTGGTTTAAAACAAGATTATGATAATTTTGCCATATCCAGGAAATACAAAGCACTGACTTATGCCTGGTGCTTAACTCATGCCATTGTGAATAAAGAGGGGGGAGGGAAGGGGTTTAATGTTTAATTTCCTGTTAAAAACACACACAGGATAAAATCTTCCAAAGAGCAGTTATAAAACATGCATTTGTAAGCCAAGAAACTAGGTAAATATGGAACGAAGCCCAGGCTCACTTTTATTCCTTCCCCCCCCTCTCCAAAGAACAAAGTAACTGAAGGCCACAGCATGTATTTGGAGGCACTGAGCTAGAGTTAGTGACTAGATAATTAATCAGCCTGGCTGATTTATGCACCCTGTATCCATCGGGGTAGTTCCTCAGATAACGCAATGATGCAGCTGGGCTGGAGGTACTGTATCGCCATGTATCCTGCGCACATGCCAAACCACCGTTGAGTCAACTACCCACTAGCCTACTGACACAACTATCTGGCTAAACACAAATAAAATAAGCATTAGCATGTAGTCGGGACCTACCGACAGCCAGTTTCTAGCAACAACAGACTGAGAAGACTGCTACACCTCCAGTAGTGGCTACACTTCCAGTAGTGGCTGGAGACACAACGCAGGTTTTTTTTTTAGAAATTACAAGGAAAAAGATTATTTTCAGACCCCACTGAAAACACAGTGCCATCCACCCTAGAACTCTGACTTCACCTGCACCAATTCAGCCTTCATCAGTTTTGCCACACTTAATGACATATTAGCTTATTCTGCGATTCACCACACTAGAACTTCCAGACAAGTACCAAATACCTGTATGATATATAACAATTACAGCCTTTTCCAATCCCAGTTCTCTCTTTGTTGAGATGCCAGAGTTAAACAACAGTATGGACTGTTTTCAGGAGAAATGGAATGTTTATAACAGTTTTCAACAGTAATATTGTAAATTTGGATCTTACAATAAAAATAATCCATCAAAGATTTTTTGTCTACTGTGTTAGTGTCAAAGTCAGGTGCTCAGTGCACACCTTGCAGCATGGAATTGGAGAAGTTGTGGCATTTCTTGCGACCTAGTGGGATTCACATTCAAAATTAGATGTAAACAACTCCATGAGTGGCTTCAATTTTGGTATGTTTTTCAAATGAGGATAAATTTATTATTGCAGAAATAGCTCAAGAGCTTTCTTAGCTTTTGGTAGCATATTATTCAAATTAACACAGCTTAAGCTTTTTAAGCAGATGCACCTTGAACACCTTCTAGCCAAGGCATTTGGTTTCATACTTGATGCAAGAAAAGAAAGGCACAGAGAATACATCTCTCTCTGGTGAGTTAAACCTGGTGGCAGGCATGCTGAATTTCTTGCAGACTCTTAGTAAAACTGCCTTTGTGCAAACAAACAACCTGGAGTTTTTTGCTGAAACCTGCACTTAACAGCTGTTGTAAGTATTTGTGCTTTTTCCTTAAGAAATCAACCACTGTTAAGCAATGATTAAATGACAGGTCATCAGTGAATCTCATACTACTGCATGAGCTCAAAATCATCCTGTTTATTTTCACTTGCTGACAACTGGACTCTGTGCCCTGATCCCATGATTGTAAAAAGACAATTGACTAACAACATTAGAAGGGAGAACGGGAATAGGGTGGAGAAAATCTGTAACACAAAATGAGCCTCGACTTGCCTTCTCTGTACTGTACGTACCCCCAAGCAATGAAATTTCAGGAAAATGATTAAGTTTCTGGCCAACAGTCAGAATATATAAGATGCTATACACCCTTTGCCTGAATGCTGCTACTGCAGACTCCAGGCAAAAGCAAGATTTTTTTTTTTCTTTGCTTCTCAACAGTAAGGCAAGTTTACAAGTATTTACTGGTAGTTACATCAAGGTATTACAGATTCAAGTGAAGTAGTAGTATTCTCTAGAGCAGTGATGACCTGAGCCTTTAATCCAGATGAATTTAACTATAGAGTGCATTAGCTCTTCTCATAAAAGATTTGCTTTAATTTTAGTTCTCCCTCCATTTATCTTATGGCTGTGTAATCTTCAGTAGAGGTCAAAGAGATTTCCCCAAAGAAACACAAGCTGTTTCTTTTTTAGAGGGGAAAAAGCATATTTAAGACAGTTTGTCCTACTTTTAAACATATGTCCCAGGACAGTGCTCTCTATGCTCTTCTTTCTCCGTCCTCTCCTTGCTTCTTTATGTGTTCTGAAGCAAGCAAACAAGCATGCATGTGCATGCACACACGTATACAAATGAAACATGGATGAAAGCACCTACTTAAGACAGGATACACAGTCCATCTGCTGCAAAGTCTCGAATTATTACTAACATCTTACCATCATCCAGCTCAAGGCAGAGATTGTAAACAGCCAGAGGTCTCTTAATACGTTGTCCTTGTCTTCTTGATTGCCTTGGTGGGGCATTTGGAGGAGATACTGACATAGACATTGGCTCAGGGAAAGTGGCATCAGGCAGGGTTTTGAAAATCTGCAATGAAGAACACAAAGGGTGTTAATTATTTATCACGAAGAGCAACCTGTGTAACGCAACTGTAAGCCATTATCAAACAACATTTGTTTTGGATTTCATTCAAAGCAGGCAGAAGCCAAAAATCCATTCCTTCAAGTTTGGGAGTATGCCGTGGGTCTTTAATGAGTGCTTTTGAAATAAATAAATAAATTAATACAATATGAAAATAAGCAAGAGCACTGTCTACACATTAACCAAGCTGCAAATCAGTTAATCCAAAGACAAAATATTTGCAGCCACACTTGCCAGCTAGAATGGAGGGGAAGTAGAAAAAGGGGGATACTAACTTTATGAACCAGTAATCAAAAACATTCATAGCTTTAGCCTGGACCTATAATTTTGCCAGAATACCCATTTTAATTTTCAAACTTGTGATATCATTAAAATCATCCATTTTAATTAAAACAAACATACATACATATTCTTGAAGAGAGCACTGAGAAAATTTTGAGGGGAGGGATTTTGAGTGAGAGATACCATTGTAACATATCATGTGATAAATTTTTCAGTTAACTATTGCATAGAGTCACATTTATATTAAATTATGAAATTCACAAAGATGCATATAAAGAGGTTTGCATTTCTTGTCATCGTTCCATCCTTTGAGTCATGACCAGTAGCCTGTCACCACTCCATACGAAATACCATGTCATTCCTCTCTGGATTAACCAGCAATGCAGATGTGCTCAACTTCATAGCATTTCTGCTTTAACCGTCACACATATAGTACAGTCTAATGATGCTGATTTACTTCTAGAAAATTATCAGTATGCTGATGTACAATTTAATGGCAGACTTTTACAACTGACCATTGCAGATTCACAGATTCACCAATTAGCTTGATATGTATTTCAGACAAAGACAAGCCAGCAGATAAAGCAAAACACAAAAAGCAGCCATACAAGAAAAGCCCTGTGTCTGTACAGCACCTGACAGCAACACAACATGGTAATATAACAAGATATGAAATACAGAAAATGAAACAGTATATGGTGTTCCTTTACTCTGCATCTTTACATTGCCATGCATCAGTATAGGAAATACTATAAAGAGGAGACTCGCAATGAATCTTCAAAGGAGAAGCTTTGTATGAAGCAGAAATTAATGCACAAAGTATAAAGAGACACCACAAATAACACATTTCTGGATTATTACAGGACATGTCGGGTGCAGCATGAAACTAAAAGCCAGCCAGGCTACTGTAAAGATGAGAAAAATGTCATAAGCATCCTGTGGTATGGTTCTCAAGACATCACATTAAAAGCATAAGGAACTCTACATGCCATTGTATCCTAGCCTGTTAACCCTGAATATTAAAACGTGTAGGAATAATATGACCCAAGAAACCACATATATACTGGCTTACAATCTCTTAATCATCACTCTCATAGTGGCAGGTAGAAGACTGCTGGTACCAAATAATCAGAAACACCATTTTCCATGAAAACCATGGAAGAATGATCATATTGCCAAAACTGTGTCAGAAACCTATACATGGTGCGTAAAGGAAAGCTCCAGTGGAACTACCTTCCATCCCAATAAGTGAATGTTGCTGTGTGGGATGCAAAATGATGTAATTTGAATTTCCCCATGCCAGTGTGAAGAAAACTCTCTCACTCCTGCACAAGCCTATGAACAAGGGATTACAAAAATGCACCAAAATAGTACAAGCAACTCTGTAAAACAAAACGTTTACAAAGAAAAAAGGAATTGCTCCAACCTGGTTCTCCCCAGTACAGACTCGGCAGCACTCTCAGACAGTGACAAAGCTCTAATTGTGCTCAGAGTGCTAAAGCCATTTCCTGAAACATGATGCAATATATAATAATGAAATCTAATGGCACTTGGCAAACAGTACCACACTGCCCCCTTTTGTGTAAATATAAGGCTAGATTGAGCAGTTTCAAGGATAAATATTTGCTTCTGAAAAAATCAGAAGTACCAAAACTTTAAATGCCATCTTTTCCATGGACTAAGTGTTGCTTTTGGGCTCTCTGGTAAATAACTCTCTGCCAAGAGGTTTCAGCATGTTGTTTACTATGTCACATTCCACAGCTGTGTTTATTTGTATAGCCTTATCCACGCATCTCTGCTGAAATTAATGATGGTGAGGAGAACAAGTATTCCCCAAGAATACTTCATAAGAGATGAGTTTTCTTGTATGCATTTAGGTGACTTGCACAGCTTCATAAGAGATGAGTTTTCTTGTATGCATTTAGGTGACTTGCACAGGTTGCAGTAAAAGTTCTTAAGTGCTTTTTCCTCACCTCTGACAAATGTTTCAATATACTCTAAGACTATTAGCATGAGAAACTAAGAGTCACAAAAGCAAAACACAACCAAGAAAACCATAAAGGCAATACTTAATGATGCTCAGTGACAGACAGGCAACAGGACAATGAACTGGAGACAGGTATGTATCCAAATAGTTTTCTGATAGCCATGTGAAACAAAAACCCCAGTTTTTTTCTGGTTGGGGGTGAGGGGGTGGGAACCCTATATCATAGACAGGAAAAAAGAAACAGAAAGCAGTGAAGTCACATTTCAAACAGTGGCAGCCCAGCACGTGCTAGCCAACTTCATAGTCATACCGATGGCAAGTAGTCATAATCTGCCCAGAATGGTTCTCTCCCTTAAAAAACCAAAGGTTAGGGCACCAAGCCCTCTGTCTGGATAAGCTGTCAGGATAAGCATATCACCTCTACTTTTAAATTTTTTTAGTGGCAGAGCTGTGCATGAATGCTTCCCTAGAGCACCGCTCAGTGCAGCCCAGTGCTACCCAGTCACAAGGCTGGGCTGATGGCAGGCACTCCAAGTCCCCTTCTGCAGACAGGACACTCAGGGGGGGGCATCAGGCCCATCCCCCTGTTTTCCTTCACTCTGCTCTCAGCTTCTCATTACAACAGGTGGGTTGGGGAAGTTTCATTTCTAGGATTAGGTCAGTAAGTAGTATACTGCTTTCTAGGGAGCAGAGATCACCTCCTGAGAGCTCCTGGGTAGCACAAGGCCACATGTTCTCCACACTCAGGCCAGGGCAGGAGCCCACACAAAACTCCACGCTCTCACTCCTACGTTTCTCTGATGCAATGCTACAAACTGTAGCACTTTTTCCCTTGTGCTTACATTCAATGACTGTCTCCACAGAGAAGAAAGGGATTCCTGAAAGAAATATTTAGATACGAACCAGAGAATGCAACCTCTTGACTATCTGCAGAGAAAAATTTACTCATGCAGAGTAAATTGAGACTAATTGTCATACTCAGCAATGAAACCACCAAGTATCATGAGCTGCTCTGCAGGATTCCGACACAGACAAAAACAAACAACCAACCCCCAAAAAAACCACACACACAACCACGGCCAGAAAGATCACTAGGGGTTTTTTTAATATATAAAAGAAACAGGAAACATCCTGCTCCCATGTGTTGCACAGAAAAGTACATTTGGGGTCATTTTTGCTCTTTCAGGCAGCTTGTATTTGTGTTCATCCCTACTTTGGTATTTGCCTTTCATCTTTTTCAATAGGAAAATAAAATCCACTACAGCCCATCCATAACTAGACCTTCTTTTTAGCAGCAGAAATCTTTTTGTTACAGGCCAAAGCTACAGCTCACACCAGTTTTGGAAAGGTAAGCATCTGAAAAGCAAGCAGAAGGTCAACCTCTTCCCTAAGAAGTGCACATACAGCATTCAGCTCCGCTTTCTTGCTTTATTTTCACTTAAATAGACGAGTACTTTTCATCATGCCTTAATGGGTATTCATCCACTGCACTGACAGAAGCATTGTAACAACTCTCTGAGAATGGGGGACAGAGACACGCTTTATTTCTGTTGTTGGTTTTGATTTTATTCTAATTTTCTCCTAGCCATATTAGTTATTTAAATGCCACTGAAGCATAAATGTTGCACAGTTAATAAAAATGCCTGCTGTGTGTGACCTGTTGTCAGAAGCATGCTGCATATGCACAGAAGACAGAATTCAAAATCCTACACATGCAGCGTACTACGTGAGCACCTGAAACGGTACCAACATTCCTGTGTTTTGACTGACTTGCACAACAATATAGGACCACGCCTGACCAAGTTTCAGAGTATCTTCTTGCACTGCAAGATGTTGCTGTCAGATGCACCGCAAGGCAACCACGCGTATCCAATCGGATAGAAACCCTCCCATGGGAGAATAGGACTGGAACATGCTATTGAACAGAAGATTTCTCTGCTAGTCCAAAGAAAGCCTCCCTTCAAGTAAAAGTCAGGTCTACCACCATCACTCAATAGGACTGCAGAAGTTACCACAGCTTAGACTAATGACTGTATAAAGACATGAACGAAGTCTGCTCATTGAATTACCTTGTTCAAGAAGCAATAAAAACCTACTAAACCAACCTCAAAGGTTAAGAGCCTCACAGTCACATCCAGCGTTACACAGTTGTTGAGACTGTGGCCTAACTGCATTACAGAACATCAGTTCTCTGCAATTCAGTTCCAAAAGCAGGCATCCTGCTATTGACCTACTTGGAGGCAAACTCAGATGTGAAACAATTTACGTAGAGAAGACTAATGCATGTAGAACTCAAAGTTTTACCAGGCAACAAATCCGACTGCTAGTCAGTCCTATCGCAGTTAGTCCAGCATTTTAAATACATCTGACATGAAAGCAGAATTTAGAGGTGCACTTAATGGTGGATCAGCCTTTCAAGCCTGCAGTGTAAAAGTTACAGCAAAAAAGGTGAGACTCTTGTCAAGCTATTTAGGACTGATATGTTTGACCTATTTCTCTCTAAGCAATAGTACAAAGTGGATACTTTAGGGCCCTAAACAAACCACAAGCCAGCTTGGATATACACCGCTAGTAACTGCTCTGTCTAGAGCGGCGAGCCCAAGACCATCCCTACATAGAACCATTCCGATTCCTAAACCTGTGTTTCACAAAGCCTATGGAAGCATTTCTTCAGAGT